AGGTCTTCTCTTCCGATGTCCACCATGTGGTCCTCTCACAACTTCACCTCATTCTTGTAGCGAATCTTGTCATCCTCAGCAAGCTGCGTGTAGACCTGTTTCTGATGGCTGAAGAGATTCCTCCAGTCCTCCAACAGCGGACTGGAGAATTGTGATGGACTGTGACCTGGATGAGCTACTACATCACTGCCACTCTTAATTGCTTGTTGTCTCATTGATTGTATAAATATTAACCATCCTGTTCCTGCCTATATTTTCCTGTTGTTATTAACTATCTAACAACTCGTTGTCAGTGCTGTAGTTGTATCTTAAACCTTTAAGTCATCAGGCCTTAAGTTGAATAACCAGAGTGTCCTCTCTAATCTCCCAGCTGTGCCCTGCATACTTTCTTTAATCTTTGCTTTGTGTTGAGCTGTTTCAGCGTTGGCTCTTGTGGTGGTGTTTCCTGTCACTCATCTAACAAATAACCACCGCAGTAAGAAAACAGGTCACCTGTAACATTGTTTTTCCAGAGTATTTCTGACTCTTGTTTCACGCCATAACTAAAACATAGCATACAGTTGAGAATGAGTATTTAAAAACATGCTCTGGGGTATACGTCTGTTTTCCTCCAGTTCTTTTCGATGCGCCTGCAAGATGACCAAAAATATGGACGACAAATTGAAATGCCCTAAAACTAGAAGTGCTACCATTTGGAAGTCTCTGGTTTCTGTGCTTGTTTTTTTAGTGTTAGTAACCATAATAAGTGAAAATTGTCGCTCCAGACAAACCCGTTTGATCTGCTGGCAGTTATCTTGAAAACCAGATGATCACGATTAAAGGATTGGTCACTGGAATTTATTTCACTGCAAAGCTTTTGTTTTGGTAACACAAAACATCTCTTTAGTTTACAGTGGTGCGTTTTTACCTCTCACTAAAAAAATCGAACTCACTCGACGTTCAGTTCAGTTCCCACCAAAACCTCTAAAGAGAGCCTTTCAGCCAAGGATGTCAATCTAAAGGAAGTAGCAGTCAGAACAT